CCAGCACGGGGGGATCTGGGGCTCTCCCCGGCAGATGCTGGCACCGCAGCAGCCCAGAGGCCCTGCAGACAGCCCAGGGCAAAATTTTTAATTTGTCATCACACTTCAACCTGAAACCTGAAAAAATTAAAAAAGAATGGCAGGATGTTGGCGTCTCCGAGACGACGCAGCCCCACGGCTGCTGCAGCCCCACGGCAGGGGCCAGTGCCAGCAGTGGGAGCCGCAGCAGCTCGGGGGCTGCCACACTGAGCCAGAGGGAGCCTTGGAGCAGGAACCAGCCCATGGCACTGAGCTGCAACGGGGATGAAGAGCAACACTCACCTCGGACCAAGCGAACACAAGAACATGGGCAGGTTTGAGAGGAAACACCCACTCTGGGGGGTTTCAGGACTCCTTCCCATGTGCCTGGCAGAGAAGTCAGCCCGTGCAGCAAATAGCCTTTTAAAAACTACAGAAATCCAAATACTTGAGAAGGTTCCCGGTTTAAAACCTCCCTGGGAACAATTTCTGGGGCAGCAGCAGCAGCAGTGGCAGCAGCTCTGTGCTGGAATCTGGCACAGCACAGCCAGCAGCTTTCCAGCCAGGGGACAACGGCTCTGGGGAGGACAGCACAGCACAGACAGGGGAACCAGGGCCACAGACTCCTCTGGAAAACCGGGACACCCAGTGTACCCACAGCCATTGGCAGGATTCCATCAGCAGATCCACTGGCTCTGCTTGGGTTTGGGATTCCCCCAGAGAGATTTCCCCTGCTCCAGTGCTTGCCACAGCCCCATTCCCCAAGGGGCACGGCCAGCAATGTCCTCCCAGCTCCGGGAGCGCTGCCATGGCTTCCTGAGGGATTAACAGAGCCTCTGGTCAGTCCCCTGGCACCCCAGAGCCCACGGTGGTCAGGGAGGGTGTCCAGGCAAACAGCGAGCTGAGCCACGGGAATTCTCGGTTTCAATGAAATCCAGGGGAGTGCGTATCAATCACAGTAAATGGTTCTGCTGCCAGGAGCCACGTCCTGCAGCACGGGGAGCTGCCAGCAGATTCGTCAAAGTGACTCGTGTTTTGCAGCTCACCGTTAACAACCTGCTCCTGAAGGAGCTGCAGTCCGACAATTCCTGACTGGAATGTTGTGAGAACACAGAGGTGAGGGGGTGGCGTACAGCCCCCCCGAACCTGCGAGAGGGCCCTGCAGCTGCTCCTGCTAGCTTGACATCAATAAAACATGGAGACAACCGCGAGCGGGGAGATAAAAGAGGATGAAAGACGCGTGGAAGACAGGCAGCCCCACTGTGTGCGGGGGATTTGAGCACTCGTGGGCAAAACGGGTTTTAAAGCCTGCCATCAGAAAGGGCCTGTGGGGGGGATGCGATGGGGACG